AAAAGCACAAAACTGGTACGTCCCGTAGGTTGGTAATGGAAGGAATCGCAAATTCGAATACTACATAAGTGGATCTAATAAAGTGCGCATCGGTTAATCGATAAATTGCACAAAAATAATAGGGCTGTGGGGGTAAGATGGTACCATGCAAAATGGATTAACAAGTTGATATGATCAATGCTAACAACAAATAACAATCGGATTGCTCACCCAGCTGCACAGAATTACGTGCGTCACTGTGGATTATAATTCCTAAGAAGCCAGTTAGCTTGGATATATCCCAGAATATGCGTTCATGTAACAAAGTGTACGAAGTTTACTGCCTACGGTAGGGGCCCAGACAACTGGGTTCGGATGATCGTTTTAACTGAGCAACGCCTGAGAACACTGTTTCCCCAATCCAGGCGAGCAGCTGATCGCCTATCTTTTCCATGACAACTTTCAGGCGATATCGGTCATCCTTCATTTTTTCACGTTGTTGAGCAACAATTCAAGTCGATCTCTGGAGCAGTTACCCCTAGGTCTAGGGTTTGGTGCAGTCAGGGAAGTTAGCGCTCCGCCCACTGGGTGATACCTATTTACCCTTGCTACAGGCTAAACCATAATGCAGTTCCAGCGTGTGATAATCGCGCACGATTGCAATATATAAGCACTTTTTACACATTTTAGGGTCCAGTTTTCTGTTGTCTAGTGACCAAGCGTGAACGCACGCACTATAGCAATCTATGCTGAGGATGCGGATTGTGCACAGTTAAAAAACTCGCAGACAACGTGAGTGAAGCCACACAAGCTACAAAACAGTCTCAACTTATCGGCGCTATCGTGAGTTTCTTCTACAGACCGATATCACACGTCCATGTTTACATACCTTTTAGTGTTGTACAAAATGAAGCCGCTGAAGCTGACAGCAGCGAAATATCGACTGGGCATCGCGTTCTGAACCAACAGTGACAAAATTCCCAAATGAGTTGGTAGAATATACGCCTAAATGTCATGGTCAGGGTGTACGAAGAAGAAACACGTTAAGTGCTATTGTGTGGATGGGGAACGGTCACCAGGCGTTGAAGGAGCCAAGAGACTAATTGCCCTTCACTACCAGTGCTCGCATACCGTTGTGCACATCCGAAGAGACAAACGAGTGACCCATTTTAATGGTAAGCGTTTGGTGTTCGGAATCCAAACCTTGATGCAATCGGTGGTAAGTGTTTTGCAGTTGAACCGTTTGCATTGGTTACACACCACGCCGTATGTAAGTGCAAACCAACACCGCCGCTGGTTGCAGGGATTTCCGATTTTAAGACGGATAGAATGATGAAAAGAGTTGAGGAAATTGACAAAGGGCTTGGTCAGAATGACGAGTGGTGTCGTTGTAGGAAACGATCACTGGATAGGTGACGTCACTAGATTTCAAGTGCTCTCTAGCATGGCATAGCCACGAGGTCACGGACGTCCCTACATCTTGCTCTTAACCTTACACTTATTACATTAGATTTTGTTTGTAGCCGTGAAGTTCTCTCCTTTTTCACATCTGCTAAGTTGTTCTCATCGTAGCGGCATTTCCCCGTGCGGATCACAGCTGAAAACGGAGTCTAGCTATTGTTTGTACTATTTGTTTCCCAGGTTCCTCGATCTTTCGTTCTGTCGTTCTCGTCCTTTTTGCTCACTTCAGTTCGCACCATAGCACATGAGGAAACGGCACCTGAGCATCCGAATCCCAATAGAACGGATAGGCAGAATTATTTATTCCAACTGTACGTTAATTATGGGTTTGTTTGAAGCAAATAAAACGAGTGCATTTGACGAAGAGAAAATGTTTGAACGACGCCATCATTCCTGTCCAAAGGGATGAGTACAGTGAGGTACAGAAAATCGGGGCTAGTGGAGGGAGCCAGTAGTTATACCCAACCGTCCAACGTATAGGTTATGTAGACATTCTGATTCCGTGTAGTGCTCCTGACTGCACATAGCATTAGTGAAAGGAGTGGGATTTTCGCAAATACGTAGACCGATTGTTAAGGGATGGCGCTTCTCTGCCTATATCGCTGGGTGTAACCTCGGAGTTCACAGATGATGATGTGGTAGTAGGTGCCGGCAGTTTGATTGAAAAAACAGCAGCATGAAAGCGTAAAATATTGAGGGATGCGGGTCACAGGGAGGGTTAAATGAACAGTTCGAATTTCTAGTTTGGTGAACTCCAAAATTCAGTGGTGACCGTGTATTCACCAAAGGACAGTTCTCGAGGTTGACTGTCCTGGAAAATTACCGGTGTCTTGCAATTTCATCGTACCAGAACCAGAAACGCATACGCTTTCTATATTTCACAAGACTGAATTTTATTGATGTGTGTACCTCCCGGCTGTGCATTTGTTTACCTAACTGTACATCGTCTGACACTTTATCCTCAGTGAGTCGTGTGCTACTCTGTTGCTGGCTCTTGCTGATTCGCTCTCCATCCCTTGTAGTCTGTTCAATACATACGTTAGGTTCAGCTGCCTCCAGCTTCTCTGCCGTTCCGTATTTGCTAAGTTGCTTAACTGTTAACGTTACCGACTAGTATGCGGGGCGCACCCAACGTGCCTTTCTTTGTAAGTGAGACCAGACACACGATCGATCTTTATACTGAGCGGAAATGCATGTAGCGATGACAACAATAGTGCATAGGTTGTTGACTTAGTTGATTAGTTGAGGTGGCTTTAGCTGGCTCATGGCATGAGAGGAATAGCTTTTTTCAACTTAAACTTTAAGTACCCAGATGGGTGTATTTTCAAATGTGCCAAAACAGCATCATTAAATGCGCAAGATTTCACGAATGGAAAAAGGGTGCACATATGTTATTGGAACTAAAGATATAGCATTATTGAGCGACAATAGAGAGAAGTAGAAAGACTTTCAGTGAATACTGAAAATAGTGAGCTAGTAAATATGCGTCTGTGTCGCTCCACGGTAATCAGTTTGGGCACATGCGCGGATTCACATCACTGAAGCCCGAGAGTTTGCTGCTGGTACAGCTGCGCCGCATGCTATTCGGGTGCGATGAGCTTCCTGTAACTGAAATTCACAAAGTAGATGCCCAGGAATTGCTTAATTTCCGACAGCGATTTCGTCGCAACAATTTTTGCAGGAAAACTGTTCCAATATTTCATCACAGCGCACGAAGAATAGTGGGTGAGCTATCCGCTTTGGGTCGAGTACCACTAGCTTGTAACGGTGTCCGCGAGTGCAGCTTGGTGCGCTCACGTGAAGCAGTGGCCTCAGCATGGGGAAGTGACATAGATGCAATATCCAATGTGTCATAATGGGATCAACTGTAAACCGAAGATACGACAGGGTATACAGCCCTAGTTATCTGCATCGGGCTTCGTACGGCATACCCCGTAAACTGGGAATGGGCGTGGTAGCCATATATTAAACACGTTCCAGTCCTTGCATCTTGCCACGGGTGATCGGACAATAGGCGGGTGATCAGTACTCGATCTTATGATGCAAGAGAAGAGGAGCGTGACAATCGCTTCAGACGAGACGCAGAAGCTGCGTATGAGCGCCCAAAGGTGTACAAGCCTTTTCCATAAATAGCTTTTTCGTGTTGTCTATGGACTTCGAATCGCAGCGTGAGAGTACTCCGAAATTCTTCACGGAAGGTGTGTGTGATGTAGCGGCAGACAGTCAGTGTGTACGTATGCCTATCAACACGCTTCCCCGGAATCAAAGATAACGATTTCACTGGGTTGACCCACAGATAGATTTCTGTAGACCAACTGGATAGGAGGTCGAGGTCATGCTCAAGGACGTCAGTCGTCGGGAGAAACAATAACCCACCATATGTTTAGACTGTCTGAAAACAATGCACAAGGCGGCCGAAAAGGCTGAGGTACTTTGTGGATGTAAATCAGGAACAAAATGAGTCCCGTTACTGTACCTTGAGGTACACTACAGGTGGGGGATACCAGTCCATTAGATGGTCATCCAGTTATACCCTCCGTTTCCGTCCAATAAGGAAGTCCCAATCCAACTGTACAGTGAGCCACCAACACTGCACATCCTCGGCTTGTTGAGCAGGACCTCGTGCTTCACTTTGTCGAATGCTTTGCGGAAATAAACGTAGATTATATCTAACGACTTTCCCTGGTTCAACGCCTACAACCATTCATGCCACATCAACAGCATGTCGGTGGCCCTTTGTGAAACCGCGCTGTGCCGTGGTCAGAAGGTTGACGCGACAGTTTTGCTAAAGTGTTTCTAAACAAATAGTTCCATTTTGTTGAAAGTAACTATTTGTCTAATGTGCACAGTATCAAGATGCATTTTCTCGAAGGATCAATGGAGTAAAGCGAGTTCAGTTCAGTTAAAGATTTAATCAAACTATTACTAAAAATTGAGTTACCCACAGTAGATACCATAAAATTGATGTTTTAGAGAAAAAGATAACGCCCAATTTAAAGCTCCCACCGTGTCCGAGTTCATAGGGACGAAGTAGGCAAATCTACGTGCCGCGTAAAAAATATGCTCGAAGCAAGGGCATACAGGCCACTCCGAATACCATAATGTGCTGGTGAACCACAGTGATCCAGCCCCGAGGGAACCACACGATAAAGTGTCTACAGCTGCTGAGATTGGTGGCCACCGACAACACTGTGCAACCTGGACAAATGCAACGGGTGCGGAAGAGCGTTCAGTTCGAAAAGGAATGTGATAGATTGTGGGGGTCAACGAGTAATGCCATCCACTTAGCGAAGTCCATAGTTTGGTGAAGCATAACATAGCGTTTCAAGGGACTGCCAACAAAATGGGAAAGAAGCAAGATGATATAATCCTGTCAGAGTATCGAACAGTGACCTAAAAACTCGAACAAGGCACACAACGAGGAAGGTCACAAGTGCTTACAGAAAGCACTAGGATAATCCCGAAGGACATAGATGGTTGCAGGAATTAATAGCAAATAAGTGAGGCGGACAACATAGCGAGAGTACACGAAATAGTCAAAGTGGAAAATCCAAACGTACCATCTATCACTTTGCTTTCGGAACGTGGACCGGAAAATGCGATGAATTTGTTTGGTATGATCCAGTTCAAGTCCCCATTCTCCACTTTCTTCAAATTGAGTGGTAAACTGGGCTGCATTATAAAATGGTGACAAACCTCATAATGTTCGTATTCGTCCACGTTGAAGGTCAAAAAATCGAGGAACTTATATTGAATGGCCTGCGAACGATGCAGATGGGAAAAGAAAAAGAAAAAACGACTTCGGAAATTGTGAAAAAGAATGATGCCTCCGTTAGAACAGAGCGAAAGTGAATAGAACTATCGGCAACAGGGGCAACGATGTGACCGATATCGATTTAATGAAATTAGCTGAACGCATCACCGCCACGCAAAAATAGTTAAGGTGAAGATTAGGAAAACCGGAGGCTCATGGATCAACTATAAGCTCTTAAATGTAAAACATTCAGCTCGGTTAGTCACAAACAGTCAGGGGACCAAGGTGTGATGGCAACAACTGCTATGAACTGTTAGCATGCTTATGAAGGTAGAATATAGTTCATACGCGGATAGAACAAGAGAAACAACATCAGAAGATAACATACGATCACAAAGTAAGAGGTACGGGCGCTGAATTAAATCGGAAGCGATTAAATGATACAATTACTGAACAAGGCACACTGAACATCAGGAAGGTCTAAGGTAAAACCAAATAATACAGGAAAAGTTTGACAGAACCAAATCATGGGACTTAAACTACATAAGGATAGTGATCTGCGATGGCCAATTTGTCCCCTGATGCCTCGCAATAGGAAAATAGTTCCTGGTTGGTCATGGTTAGCAAGAATTTGACGCATGCTTCAGCGTTTTATCGAGAATACCAAATGGCCCTCACAACCCGCACACTGTGCAGGCCAGTACGCTACCTATATTTTCCACGCGATCGAAATTTAAAGTTTTCCTTTCTCGTAACTCGTCGTATCGCAACTGCATCTTGTTCTACCCTTCTCGCATGTTAGCCGACCCCAAAGTAATGGTGCCCACACTCACTCTGGACTCGAAAGGCAGAGTTTACAATGCAGCCGTCCGTTCAGTCCTCCTATACGGCTATGAAATTTGGCCCACCAGATCGACAAAGAGGCTAGCTACGTTCCACCATAGCTGCCTTCGTAGCTTAACTTATGTCTGGTGGAAGCACCGCGCGAGTAATGAGCGTGTTCGGCGTCGCGTATTTGGTGAGGAAGATCAAATGAGCCGCTCTGCACCGATATTTCACACATCGATGGCTAGGCCACACGTTGCGCATGTCAGCCCACCGACCCCCGCGACGTGCGTTGTTTGCGCGACCGGGGTGTGGATAGAAGACGAAGTAGGTGGCCAAGCGACGACTTAGTCAAGAGGAATGAAAACCCTCATTTAGAAGTTGGCGTCGGTTGGTATCTCCCGACTGCCGGGTTGGAGTCCAAAAGACGATGAACATGTCTGGTTGGGTAAACTTGTTGACATGGCGAAGAGCCAAGCCCAATGGTGTTTATGTTGTGTTTCTTTGTCCCTCCCCCTCCCTTTTAGCTTCCCCTGCTGATCACAATCTCACAACTGATGCGTGAGATGATATTTAGCATTACTCTTTTAGTTTTTGCATTTTACAAGATTTAATACCAATGTTTATTGTGGAACATTAACTGAGGTGTGCCTCTCACCATCAGCCATCGTGTATTGTTGAATAAATGATGAATGGCGTCCCCGTTGCCAGACCGTTTGCTTGAGTAAAAAGGCACTATTTCTGCTCTGTTTACCGCTATGAAAATCCATACTGGTCTTAGTGATTCGTGTAGCGACCCCCGAGATTAACCAGCAATCGCGCGACAATTTTACTTGGTTGCTCGATGATTGTGAGAACGTGTAGTATGCAAACCCAGTCCTACAGCTGTACAGCAATTTGATAGCGTGTAGCACATACAGAAGGGCTTAAGGTTCTGCGTCAGCCTACTCATCAGTACTTGCACGGTGTCTGAGCATAGCAGAAAACAAAGCTACCTCGCCCGTGTTCCTCGTTTAACGAAGAGTCGTCAATTAGTGCACGTACTTCAAAATTTAGTATACGGTAAGGCAAATGGAATAATAATGATCACTTCACCCTAACACGTACTCGATTTAGAGACCTTATCAAAGTAAAGGGAAGACCTTCACAAATTCTTTCGTTTTACACATGAAGAATTTTATCCGCCGGATCACCAGAGCTTTGATAAGTTGCATTTGAAGCGATATGGCAATAGAGGTGTTTTAGAAAATCAGGTCGGACGTGGTAACCTGAGGAGTTTGGGTCCAGTAGGTCTGAAGAAATGTGCTTAAAAATCAATATGGAAATTCATGAGTGCCGGATAGAGGGCACTCCCTCGGTGAACCAAACAGCGCCGTTCCGTAGTAACTACGGTAGAGGATCTTCGGAGTGGACTATCGTGCCTTGCCTGAGAAGCACCAATTCGTGCAAATCCAATCGATAGTGGGGAGTCGTGACACAAACAGTCCATGTAGCTTCAGTTGGTGCAACAAACATCTATTCCACAGTACACCATCTGAAATCATATATCAAGGCTTTTGGCCCACGTTCAAGCCGATGTAAACGAATGATGTAATTCTTCCTTTTTTGAACTAGTTGTCATTTATGGATTTAAGCGGACACTAAGTTGCGTTAGTACTAGATTGTATCCCTAGCATGAGTCACCAGTAAGTTTAGAAATCCTTGGTAAGACGCATTTTCTGAGTGCCACGGATGCTCCGAGACTGACTTCTCAAAGGGACCTATTTCAACAGTTCAATCGAAATAATCGACGCCCCTGAATTTATCCACTATCCGACCGCGACAAATGAGTGGATTTGGGTGTCTATCACCCAGCAAATCGTATCCAATCCGTGTACCTGATCGGCGAATGAAAACCGATAAGGTCATTTGAACGAACTGTGATGCGTCGAGAATTGTGGGATTCAGTGGGGAGCAAGAAATTTCGAATTCGCACGCATTACTGCAGGTTTGAGGGTGGACACAGTGCATGTCGACAAATCCCAATTAACATGTACCGTCGGTGAATGGCGGTGGTGCTATCAACTAGAGTTAAAGGCAGTCTGTCATTCAGTAGGTGCCACCCAAAGCGACGCGACGCCGTAAAGCAGCATTGTTGGTAAAGAGGTTGCAGTAGGCGTGATGGTTGTGGCTAGAGCATGCTAAGCTCAAAGTTTCAGAAGACCAGGAAATACCTGACAGATTTTAATGAAACTAACTAAGCTCAGAAAGTGCGTCAAGAAGTGACTGGAGATCAAACGCTGTCCAAAGTGTCATGCCCCACTGTAATGGCGTGAAGCAGTGGCGTCTACCTGTAGACACAAAAGGCGGTGCTTGCAATCGTAGCTGTCAGATGCTGCGCCTAGGAGAACTGCTGCAAGCTCACTCGAGTCTATGGTAATAACGAGCGGCCGTTGACAGGTTGCAACAGAGGTCACATGATCCAACAGGATGATACAACACGTGAAAAAGGATGCCTTGGAGCCAAATGATGCACTAAAAATAGAACTTTAGTGCATTTCTCGCGAGACATCGCGATCGATAGTGTGTGAAGCACACTGATTAAATAATCACCGTTCGGTACTGATGGGACTGGTGAACGTGTATATCACGTGCCTTACGAGGTAATAAGCACTTGCGACGCACTTCTCTGCATAAAGTCGCGCTTAAAAGCCTATAATCGAACCGTGGTATCGAATGAGTGAGTGCCGACACACAGGGTGCAGTACCCGGAAAACGATGCCTGCGACAAAAGTGCTCGCTATGAGGCGCTAGCAAGCAGCGTGATTAGATAGCCCTACGCAGAGCGCACAATCGGGTCGATATGACCCGAGATAGGAGAAACAATTTGTTAACAACAGAAAAAACAGGGCTATCTTGTAGTTCACTACATGTATTCTGGGACTCGAATAGCAAAAGTATCAGTAATGTGATGGGAATACTCCATCAGTGCACAGAGACCAAAAGCATAAGCCAGACACCAAAGAGACGAAACCAAAGGATTCCATTACTGGATGCAGCAGGCGCAGTCGTTCCTCGACGGAGCTCCGCCGGTTAGCTGATGTTCGTGCGCCCAAGGTGCGGATTCCTCGTCGCTTAGACAAAGTCGCCGATTCGAATCTGCGTAGGTGCATGCGGCCTCGCGGCATACTCAGCCCACGCGCGACAAGTGCTGGTCTCATGGCAGCGAAGTGTCGGTACGGTTTGTCGGCGTATTGCTGATGCCTGATGCGTTTGCTTCTGTCCGGTCTTTAAAGCACCGCACAGTATGGCAACATAAAAAGTAAGACATTAGACAAGCAACAAAACTCTTGGTCGGTGACTATCGATGACGATTCCAGCTTGATTCCAGGTGACCGAAAGGAGTTGTCCGTAGACTGGCGACTGTGGATAGCGAAGTGGTAGGATTTTATCATAATGACTCCGCTGAACGCTACGTCAATGGATTGCTACTTAACGGTGTGTTATGATCGCACTTGATAAGATCTAAAACCGTCAGAACAAAGACCTTATCATAGGGCACGGCGCATTGAGGAAACGCAGACGAAACACCCGACAATATAGGGCAAGGCAAAAGAGCGTCTCAGATAGGCCGTATCAAGTTACCTAAACCAGATGGGTCACAACCAATAGATGGAAGTGAGTTAAGTTCATGGCCAGCGATGCGCGGTGGCGTTGCATATTTAGGCATTGGATCACCGGATGTTCTGACACGCTGTTAGAGATGACGCAAAGTATGTGCTGGAAGCAGGTAAAGGGGACAGCGAACTTGTTCGGTGCGCAGTCATCCGAAAAGTCGTTGAGTTTTGTAAAGCTAGAATAAACGGAAATTATCAACGCCACAAATGCCATGGTCTAAATAGTCCGACTAGCTAAGCGGTCAATAATTAGGTCATCGAGGTGATGCTTCAGGCGAGTAAGTACTAATCGTTCGATTGCCAACAGTGGTTCTCAATCTAAGGGTAATTACCCCCAAAAGGGGTGAAATGGAATTTTACGGGGGTGGTGGTAAATGTAAGTACGAGGATTGAGTCATCAATCGGTCTAGAAACAAAATTAATAACAAAAGCAATGTACCAAAAGATGCCATCAGTGACTAAACACTAGTGAGTGGTCAGCGAAGTAGACAATTTTCAGTACTAAATTTAATAAAGTGAGGTCCTTCGCGTCAGTTCGAATCCTGATGGATTCAATGGATGCGCACTACTGACGATACCCAACAGGCTGAAACTGCAGTTTAATGCTTTTCCGGGCATGTGAACGACTACCTGATTTGGAAACTGGCTGCGAAGAGCCTCAATTACATCAAAATCCCCTACTCATGAGTACATCAAAACTAAATTTAATAACCTAAAATACAAATACAAGGCTGCAAAGCGGCGCAGCTAGATGGCGCATGTATCGGTCGCCTCGTCGCTCGTTGATCTTTTGATTCAGACAGGTATTAGCCGGGTCGAATTACACAGCTGAAGTAAAGCAGCGGGCGTTTTTAAAAGGAAGGACAAAACGGGCGGTTAATGTTCAGGACGTATCGATACAGAGTGATCGTGGGATCCTGTCATCCGGCAATGAAGTAGGTATGTTTGAAACAAATGAGAAACCACTGACATATGTTCATGTTTGATCAGGGATCATACACAAAAGGTTGCAAGATACCTTGTATTTGGAGGACAGAAAGCGTAACCAAATGCACAAAAGATAGGGTTCTGAGTCACAAGAGACAAGATCAGATGAGGGGATTATATATATATATATATATATATATATATGGAAATTACACTTAAACTTGGTGTTTTTAAGCTGCATAAGTTTCATCCCAAGTTAATTGGTTCTTTCTGTCTACCTGAAGAATCTTCTATTAACTTGCACTCGCTGCTTACGCTTATTATGGTTATCTTGGTTAACTATACCACGTTTGTGGCATCTGTTGAATAAATTCTGAACATATTGTAATTATCGCGGATTCGTTGCTAACCAACTTACTCCATATGGTAATTTAGCGAAGAGTTATGTTGGCAGAACCGTATGCTTTAATAGATATATTTATTAGATAATGTTACTTCAAGTGATTGGCTGTTGTTTGACATCCCCGGTGTGGCTGCGCTTGGTGTGCATGCTGACAAGATGCCTACCAGTCTATTACCAACTACCTCGTTCATACTGGCTCCAGGAGACAGTTGGTCGTTGCTGGAGGGGACGGGGGTGCACGGTCCGCGTGACCATGATAGGCTCGAAGAGTGGTTCCATGCAGTCAGTGTGGAGCGGACTACGGTCCACCCACCGCCTTGTTTGCGCTTAACTCCCCAAATAGAGCGTACTTGTGTATACCTGTGAAGGAATGTGGGCCGGCTCCGTTGATGAAACGTAGCTCCCATCCACATGCCTTCCGGTCTTGTTCCTTCAGGTTTATACTGGATATGGGGTGTGTGGTTGGAGCTGTGGGTGGTGCAGCGCAATCCACCCGTGGTCCCTCTGTAGTCGCAGGCGTCCTGTGGCTGGCCACAGTGACAGGCAAAGTCGAAACCGGGTGCCGCCAACCATATACATATATATATATATATATATATATATATATATATCGCATACCCAGCTGGTTAATACTTTTCTGGAACCATGTCCTCTGAAAAAGCAGTCCTATCAAGAAGCTATCATGCATTGGGACTCCACTCATTTTGTCGATAAAAATGTTTAGAAGCCTCAATGTGTTTTGTGCAGTAAAGCGCTCATGTCACAAAAGGAAACCCAGCAGATTGAAAAACCGCTTTGAACGAAGTCGTTCTCAGTTCCTAGGAAAATATATTACGATCTGTAAGCGTAAAGAAGTTGCACTAAATGTTCCCGCATAGGTACAGCTGTCTACTTTTTCAGTCAACTGAAACTGGTTTTGAAGCTTCGTGTCGAATCACTCTTCGAATCGCCAAAAACACTAAATCTCATAGAATAGGAGAGAATTTCCTCAAACCTTGCATACTGGATGTGGTGGAGCTCGTCCTTGGACAGCAACATGCGGAATAGCTAAGTGTGATATCGCTTTCTAACAGCATCATCAAAAGTCGCATCAAGGACATGCTCAAGGAATATTTGGATACGGTGCCCAATTAAGTCAAGTACTTTGCCGCACTACAATTAGATGCGTCGACTGAAGTTGTAGCTTGTTCCGAGCTAGCATTTAATGTTCCCTACATAAAAGGTGGCCGCTTCAAAGAAGAGTAGTTGTCCTCATAAACACTGAGCATCAGTGCACGCGGTGAAGTCTTTCGAACAGTGAAGGATTTCATCGAGGTAAGGGAGCGACAGCGGTCGAAGTTGGTGGGTGTTTACACAGACGGAGCACCATCCATGTTGGTTGTTCGTTCTGAATTCCAAACAATAGTCAGATAAGTTGCTCCGTACGTTACCTTTAATCCCTGCACTTTACATCTGCATGCTTTAGCAGTGGAAACTCCAGTCTGCTTTGCTGGACTCGTTTACTCAGGTAGTGGAAATGGTAAATCATTCGCGGTAGTGAGACAAGTACATGAGTTTTCAAAGAGCTATGCAATGAATTGAGGCGAAGTCGACGTGCTGTTATTGCATCCAGAAGTGCGTTGCTTAGCGCAGGACGGTGTTGCACCGAGTACTCGAGCTTCAATAAGCAACTACTGTTTTAATCAAAAGTTCCCAAAAAGGCTTTTTCTTATTTATAGATAGTAATCACTTCCCTTCAGTTGGCGCAAAAATGCAACAGTTGATAAATAATTATCTATACAAAACAAATACATTTTAGGTGTAATCGTTTATGGTGAACCCGCTTTGTGGGCAACAGCCTCAAAAAGGTTGAGAACCACTGATTGCCAATGACGTCAGGTAGTACGCTGGTGCTCAGAATCACTGGTCGGAGAAAAATAATGGTTGGAACAGCGGTAAAATGGATCCTAGACACATAGTAATGTGTGATCGGACCCACGTGGCTAGCACAACTGAACTCGCTGAGTGGCAAATTGTCACCCGCAAATTAACAGTGCTCCCGATAAGGCCGAAGTTAGAGAATTGGTCTATAAACCAATATCACAGGCCACAAAGGTATAACGATTCACAGAAACCCAACTGATAAAGCTTGGCTGTAAATGTAGATGACTTTGAGTGGTGGTCTCCTGGTCGTGCGGATGAGTGAATAGAGGAGTGGTACTTGGATCGGCGGTAATGTCAATAGCATTTATTCCGGATTCGACGCAAGTATAATCGAACCCAATGTGCTTAGGTGCGCGAGGTGCGGCTTATACGGCGAGAAATAAGGTACCAGATGACTGATAACCCCGAGAAAGCGCTCGATAGAACCAGAGGGAAGTGGGAACAATGCATAGGTAAAGGTGTCACTGAAGACAATTGTTAACTCTTCTCACTTGCTGAAATTCTGAAACACGCACTTAATCTATTTCGCACGACATCAGACCCAAACAAAGGAAAAAGTAAGAACAAGCTTGCTAAAAATCACGCGTTAACTGCAGTCAGACAGGAGCTGTACAAAGGCGACAGATCATGGTCACATTTATAAGTCGCCTCATGACTTGCGGCTTCTAGAATTAGTAGGTTAGACACATAGATTTGGCCTATCTCCAGGAAGGTTGTTAGTCACGTGCTGGCTTTAGAACATTCCAGAACGTCCGAAATCAATGCGATAATCGTTAGCAATCGATTATCGCTGAAATAATGGATTTTCCTGGAAATCCTTAATTTCTCCCGGAGGCAAATACTCTGGCAAAGAATTTCCAACTACTGTACTTAGCAAGCCTGATGTAGCAGTAAGTCTGGAGAAATCCTGGACAGACAGTTGGAAACTAGAAGACAGGAGGATGGAAACCAAGCATGAAAGCACGAGTATCAATGTAGAGTGGACGTCACCCTCGGTTGTAGTAGAGTGACAGCGAGAATGCAATGGATTTAAAACAATAAACTAAGAACTGCTGAACTCAAAGACGAGCCATCGGATGGACAGAAAGGGCAAGAATTCAAAAATGGGCTTATCTTGGGACAGCGTTGAGCTGATTTCATGTTAAGAAATGGTATCCGATCCTTTCACTGGTGAACAGTAGACATTTCAAACCAGACCCTAGACAATTAGTCAAAACCGATAGAGAAACAAATCCGAGGATATCAAGTGGTTAGCGCTCACAAGGTAGTGTGGTTTTCCAGACGCTAATGGGATAGGACGCAAGTCAGTTAGTTGGTGGAAAGAGATCGTACACAAGCATCCATAACAAGTAAAGCGGTCTCATGCAAACTAATAGCCTCAACAGCCCATCGTAATTTTGGATAAGGAAGAAAGCTAGGAATCAGTTTGTAGGTACGTGATTGTTACTAGGACTGAAGGAGGCAGATACTTACTTTACTGATGGCACAAAGACAAGCCAAAAGTGGCAAATGATATGTGGAAGGTCCAAAAGAGGCATCCCTAAAAGAAAGAAGGCAGATAAGTCAAACAGTCGACCCGTCTCATGCAAATAAAGTGCATCTTGGCTCACAACAAGAGTGAAGTCAGGCAGTATATAAGGACAGCCTCGAAGAGTGAGTAGTAAGGGGTTGCACACCGTGGTGGAAAATAAGTTGCATAAAACCACGATGTTTCGAGGTGCACAGTTGTGTTGTAAACTACGTGGTCATCGCGAGAGTTAGATTCGGTGTTGAACCCATCGGAATGCCGCTAGGACTTAAATCTAGCAGCCATAGCTCTTGATGCACTCATTTCGGAACAAAAATACCAGTGAGTCAGTTTTACGGCAAAGTGAAAGCTTGATCGCGATAATGGATGGATGTATTGTCAGTAGGGCACTGACGGCACTTTCCATGGAGGAGAACATGCGAACTGAAAAGTCATCCCTTTACGTGCAGTGTAAGCAAGAGCAGCCTGCACATTTAGTGGAATCCGAGTTCGGAAGTTGGCTTGGCTTTCACCCAAAAGACAGCGCAGTGGCCCTGAAAGCCCTACTCAACAATTGCTAAAATGGTGAGGAAATACCCAGTTATCGCGTCTGAGGAAATGCATTTGGGCATCAATTGAGATTATTTAGCAAAAATGTCGTGCTGAATAGAAATTTAAAGGGATCGAGCCCAACGACGGTAGGGTCAACTTGGTTCGCTTCAAAGACCAATTGAGTGGTCGTCAGCAACCATATTCATCACTAAAGTTTATAGTACCGAAGAGGAAAAAACCACGCTCGACCTGACAGCAGAACACGGGTCAGCCAAAGGGACTGTGAATTGGGACAATATATCTGAGAAAAGGAACGAGCTGTAACCAGAACAACTGAAGAGTATTAGTCACGACTCAAAGTGAATCGGTTAAATACCAACAAAAAACTACAAATAACTGATTAACAAATCTGCGACATAGCAGATTCGACTCGCCACTAATTAATGACATTGCCCCTTCCTACACTCTGGTGGGGGATTGGGCCACTGCTTACTAAGCAACTAAATGCAAGTCTTATTAGCTATCAAATCGGTCAATGGCTTCCAACGAGCGCCATTTTCCGACTTTGCTCCGCTGTCTTGCGGGTAGACTATTCACCCACAGACTCGGAGTGTTGTTCCCTAAAACAACCTCCTACCTCAGCTTGGACATCTGGGTAGTACCTTGTCCGCTGACAGAACCATGGATTCCGTAACTTCTCTCTCTCTCCATTACTTACGCAACTCCTTATACGTCAAATTTTCTTCGTTAATCGATGTACTTTAGATGCAAGTCTCCCGATGTCCAAAGAGTCCGGCCAGTGACCCTCTATCGCACCCCGATCTGCATTCAAGTTGGCAGCCTCCAATGTTCGAACGCTTGGAAAGATCGGACAGTAGGGTGGTCTAGATAACAAATTAGCATTTTGATATCGGCGTTTGTTGCCCTTCTTAGACTCGAGTACAGGGCCCCAGCACTGTGGTTAAGTTGACGTCCCCTGTTGAGCTCTAAACAAATATATGCTGCGCTTGTCTGGTGAAACAAAACCAGCTGTAGTTGACTTGGTTGGCGTTAGCATCGCAATGAGTAACAAAGCTAAGGCCTCGCTACTACACTGGTTCTCGACTGACGTCCGATCGTGCGCGGTTTGGCTTCAAACCTCAAGTAGGATCAACAGACGTCGTAGAGAGAGACGCGATTTGTTTATGATCTCTGCCTGCGCTCCAAGCGACCGCAGTTGTGCATCGGTTAAGGATGACTTTCATCATGGACTCCATCAACCTTAGTAAAACCGAAAAATCCGATGTCATTGTCCGTATCGCAGACTTAAATGCACGGATCAGTCGCCTGCTGTCAAGCGAATGTCATCTTGTGGTCCGTAAGGAGAGTTGCTTTGACAACGGAGATAGACTGTTCAACTTATGCGAGGACAACCATTTTCTCGCGAGTACGAACGCCAGGAATTCAAGGAGAGGCGACGACACTTGGCGTCCAGCGTTCTTAAGCGAAGTGTGTTCACAAATTGATCACAGTGCAACCAGCTCGGGATGGCCGGGAACGGTATGTGATTGCAGATTCATTGACCCATATCACGCTCTGATCTGTACGGACATCGGCATGTGCTTCGGGGGTTCCTGAAAACCAAAAGTACTGTATGCTAGAAACCAAAGGGTCACCTAAGATCTATATTCAACGGGCTTACTAGGTCTCCTTCTCAGATGCATTAGCTACTTGCTCTAACTCGGTACTGCGTACCGGTGTACTGCTGATGCCCTCTCTGTCTGCTTGACAAGGTTGGCACATTCAGATAACGCGTTATGAAGAGGGTGAATTGCGTCGGTAAGTACCGTTGACGCCAGCCTCTGGCAAGAACTAATAGGAACAGATACAACTATCAAGAAAAAGTAGCCCCACAACAATGGCACATCAAGACATGTGTTCTGACGACCTGACGATTAAGCTGAAGAAATCACTGAAGAACAGCACACATAGGCGCACATAGGTTCTGGCACCGTCGCTATTTACCCATCCCTCGCGGACTGCTGGTGGTCGCGTCGCAGCAAAGAGTCGGTACCATGTGACGCCGTACCGCCGATGCCTTCATAATCCTTCTTTCGTCCTCATGTGAGGGGATTATTACGCTAGTCGCTATCAGATTATTCCACTTGGAAACATAAGCTCCTCGCCCTTAATCACAAACGTCAGAGTTCTTCGGAACTTCCTTCTGTTACCATTTCTAGTTTCCACTTACATCGTTCGATACCAATCTATGAAGTATACAGATGCAATTGTCTTCGGTAGCAATCGATCGGCCACCACATTTGCTGTCGGAGTGCGAGATATTCTAAACGATGTCACGCTAGCTGTCGTTGGGCTCGTCTAAGTGCAACGGTTTCGTTTTTTCGCCGCATTAAGTTGACCGTTATCAAAAGCTTCTCACGCAGTGCAATAACCATATCGTTTGGGAGGAGTCGTACATCCCCATATTGACAAAGTATCAAGCTGGTATGATTAACTAGAGTTCTCTTGGCTACATCATGTGAAGTAAACATTCACAAATGTCAGGAGATTGGCGTTCTACACCTCGTCTGCGATCGTTCCAAGTCCCTCATGATCTGATTCATTTTTTTTCATAACGTGTGTAAATAATAATAAAAATAATCTGTCAACTGTACGCCGTAACGGCGCTTCGCTGCCGCCCGACCACCACCAGTCGCGCGCCGGCTGAGTATACCGCGAGGACGTCCACCACTACGCGGATTCGAACCGGTGGCCGTAGGATTACAAAGCAGAGGTGCAATCTTGCCGGCCACCGACCGTTTGTTAACAGAAAGCCGTGGTGAACATAGTTAAATGCGTCAGTTTAGGCAAGAAAGCAGGCCCGGGTGGACTTGATTCTAATATCCAATGGAGACAGAATCGATTCATCAGCATCATCAATACAAGTTAGCTGAGGGTGATAAACACACCTTAGCTAATGTGCCACAATACAAAGAAGATAAGATACTAATAAATTACACTACAAAAGACTCAAAAAGCTAATAATATTATGTTCAGTAGCATATTATTCATTTGCTATGAGATGCAGTTGGAGGGAGAATCTAAAGGAGAAGAGGTGGACAAAGATACTTAGAACACAAATGCCAGAGGAACCGACTCTTCGCCATATCAGCCATATCAGAACTGAATGCAAGCAGACTCCTGCAGTTAGGGAAGATCTCGAAATATGATTGGAAAATTAGAGGGGATCATTCGACTGTGTTTACGTAAGCATCTTTCTCGGAATGATCCTCTCCAAAACTAAGGCCACTGAAGTACAAACAATTGCTTCTTGATCCTGCTCCAGTAGTAGTGTGATACTAGCATTACTTCGGTAGTCCCCCTACTACGCTTTCGCATGCACAATATGTATAAATAGTAGGTTCGGCCAAGAAGGCAGCAGATTACGTGAAGAAGAAGGGAGACCGTCTCTCTGGACAACCTACTTTACCTGGGCGTAGTTGCTCCAGGAATTGTGAACAGTCATGCGCTCGGGTTGGTGATGCTGGTATTCCGGATGTGGTCCTAACTACACACCATATCAATAGTTGGATGCCTACGGGATGGTCGTGTTCCCACGGAAATCACGGATACTTTGAATCCCAGACTAGCAACTTCCCAAATCTTGAAGGTAGTGGTACTCTTGCATTGGTCTCATTATTTCGAATGATAAGTTGTTCCACTTGAGGATTTTATCACCTGCTCATCTTTTGTTCATCATTATTAGTGTTAATCGCACTATTGGTACTGGTGTTAAGATTATTACTGTTAATAATTTGTCAACTTACCCAAATACGCAAAACGTTCAGTGTGCGTTAGACAATTCAGACGATTCGCGGAAGCTAATCTCCGAGAATGAGATAACAATAATAAGAATCCAATCCGCAGTGTACGCGAATAAACGCAGCAGCATGCGAAAATGTAGCTGACCGATTGGGTTAGAACATAGCAATTAGCTATATGGTGTAAGTAAATAACTATTTTGGTGAGGAAATACTTGAATTTACACATGCTGATCCAAGGGAGATCAAGAAACATCTGTACCAATTGAGCTGGCTCCTCATGAAGTCAGATCGTCCTGAAGCCAAATAACACTATTTAGTCATGCAAAACAACTGGACCCATCAAAATGATGGATAGGTTAAGGGCCAGGCCATGGCCACAAGGATCACAAGCCTATCTTGTACTCTGAGGACGACCCTCGCAGTACCCTCGGCCCACGTGCGACTGATGGTGGTTGTGCGGCAGCGAAGCGTAGGGAGCACGCACCGGCGTACTGCTAGTGCCTTTTTCCTTGTTCGATGGATCAAAATTGACAAGCTGAATTGAACTGAATCCTTAGTTATTCGTACTTCTAATCTCTGGTATTTCAGATAAAATAACCATCGAGTTTATAGTCAACCTATCGAGATCTTCAGTTTCATGTTATTAGTTTTGTGTTATCATTACAATGATTAGTAGTTAGTCATAGGCAACCCAACCAAAGTGCACTGCGAATATTATGAATAGACACAAATCGCTACCGATCTTAAAGTTGGTAATAAAAACTCACCTGTAAGGTATGAATGGATGCAGAGTGTTCGAACAAAGATGTCTATACGCCTCTTCTGGCGAACGATGCAAATGGATTATCTAAAATGTGCAGCAACCATTAGCATATAAGGTGCCCAGAACCCACCTGATAACAGCCCATTAGAAATGCAGCATTAACTCGCTTTTGTGCGTTGTGTGAAGTGAAGTGAATTATTTTTCCATTACTCCAATGTGGAGACTGAGTGAATTGGAAAGACAAAGAAAACTCAACCCACCTTAAGCCTTTCGTTCAATTTGCGACAATATTTATATACATGCGCGAGGTTTGGAGGGCCAAAATCTGCACAGAAGCTTAGAGGAATAAGGGATGTAGAGGTAAAAGGGAACATACTTCTCGTAGATAAGCTCTTCATCTATGGAAAAAAAGTGTAGGCCGGGGGACGGTTCAGGTTGGAAGTTGATCGAAAGAAAGTAGAGGCGATCTATGGAAGAACACGGTGAATCAGTGTATTTATGAAAAGCATGATTCTGAGCAAACGATAGGAAAAAGTTGGTCAGTTGAAGTAAGGGAGAAAGTAGCTACAAAAGTGCTCCATTGGATGAATGAGAAAGTACTGCCACAGTGATCCATTTATTGTCGTTAAATTTTCATAGACTGGCGAAATCGATCAAACTAGCTAGGCTCTTTGCATGTAGGAGTTCAGCTAAGAGTTGAACATCCGAAATAAACATAACAACGGGTGAAAATGCCCTTTATATGAATCTTGAATACTATATTGTGGAAGCAAGTAGAAATTTGAACATGTACAACTCCATCGAAATATGATCAGAGTACAGAGGCAAACAGAGTGAATTACAGCTAAGGTCACCTATGTGCACGAAGTGCAAGTGACAACCTGACCCAAGTTTTTTCGGTCGTCACAGGTGTACGGAGCTGCTGACCTTTCGGCCGGTGGAGGAACCTTCCAAGAATTTGAAATCTAAAGGGATGTTAAGTTCATCTGATGCCCAGTGCCAACGACATGGGCCAGAACAGAACGGTTAATTACATTAGCCCCATCGTGCTTCAAATAACGTGGGCAGAGTTTGGTTCACGCGTTTGTACAAGTGGCGCACTTGGACTAATAAATAACCATAAAGGCAGTCAGTGGTAGCGAAGCGCCGTTACGGTGTATAGCTGACACATGTATGTGTCTCTTTGAGAGGTAGCCAATGTTAACCCCGCACTGGTTTAAGTTTTTCTTGAAAGCGCCTTGATATAAATTTATCGAGAGATCCATTTTCTTGCAACGTATTTTGCAAGAGGATCAGTTCCGCATCCAGAATCGACGTGCTCATGAGGTAAGGCGAGGAATCAAGTTGCGCTTATACCTCAGAAGATCGGAACTGTGAAAATTGGTATACTGGCCAATCCACGCTGTCTTTCTGTAGACCTACCGCTGGATGGAGCCATCTGGTTAACAAGACACCAAGATACGACAGCCGATTGTCGCTTGTATTTGTATAAATAAACTGCAGTGCTGTATGGGCTCGGCAAAAGCAGTGAAGTATTTCATCCAGGTTAACGTGTTTAATCCCCACAACAACCATATCGTTCATGTGGCAATGTTAGCGGTCAAAAGTGCTTATCTGCGCCCGCATTTCGTGTCTCTCAAACTTTGGTGCCCTGGCCATCGTAAAAGATAATGGAATTTACTCCATTTACTGCATGAAGTAGAGTGGATGGTGATAACGGTGCTACAGCGCAAACCTCTCAATCTTCTTATTCCTCCAATAACGTTTTCATCTCTACTATTTCATGCTAAATTCAAGTTTATCCCAACCTTTTTTTAAATCCATATTTCTTGGTCCGCTTCCACCTTGCTTTGACAGCCTTTGGTCCTTAATTTCGACTCACATGCTATCGCGCAGCATCGCTTCGGTCCTATCAACAAGTTCGTGTTGAATCAAGCGGGTAACCTCACGTCATCCGCTTCTAACTGGATCCCTAGATATTTGTTAAGAATGGTATGCATTAACGCGTGAACTTTGTTGTAGATCCGTTAAAAACGATACTTACCAAGGCATAAAAGACCCTATCGGGCAAGACCTGCTAGTTATCCGAGACGCGCCAGAAGAGCTCAATTCTATACCCACTCTGCAATTCACTGCATTCGACACCAAAACGCGTTCTCATTTTGGCTATCCGACAGAAGGAAAGGCATCAGCAGCACGCCGGTACGTAGTACCAAAGCTTCGCCGGCGCGCAACTCCCACCAGTCGCGTGTAGGCTGAGGATACTGCGAGGGTCGCCCAGTTCACTATGCAGGCTCGAACCCGCGTCAATAGATTACAAGGCAGGCTTTTGATCCTTAAGGCGATGCGCAGGCTTGGATACCCGGCGATAGTGTAGTTTCATATGCCGGCGTGGGTATTGCCCTGAGCCTCTGGCATGTAGCTGCTATGGTCGACTGGATCCCATTCAGTAGCCGGATATGCGCCGTCCGACCGGCTGGCTCGGTCAAAGCTTCGAAGTCTCGTGCAGACAGAAGGTACCTGTCATTGCTTCTTACAATTACTCAAACCGTAGTTCTGATTAAAAAGAAGAGGATTCTATCGTACAATTAATGACCATTTTAACCACAGAATTACGGATCCTGTAGTGTTGGCTGGTGATCTGAACACTCAAGCTGGAAACAAGTCCAATATTGGGCAGCAGTTAGGCTGCCAACATGATGTAGGCTCCTGCAGTGATAGTGTTAAGTGGTTGCTACATCTGTGTGGAGTAGCTCGTCTATTTCTCGCGAACACTATCTTACAAGACAGCATACGACGGTGGGTGAGATACCGCTTACCAGTATCACACCAGCCATGGACGCAAATCGATCACGTTCGAGAAGTCAAAACAAAACTATTGTTCGATTTAGAGCACAGGCATGGACTCCGAACATGCAATTGTATGTGCCGAACTTCGGAGGGATTTCGGTGAGCGTCCACAGTGACATTATGATCGCCAACTGACGAAGAAGTATGTTACGATGCGTATGAAAGTATGCAAGAAGTTATTCCATCTCGTAAAGGGAGCGGGCAACAGGAGATGCGCCGTTAGCGAAAATACATGCAAATAGAAAGGGCGACCTATCCACAACTTGCCAAACGCCTTAAACACAATCTGATTCAGGTGAAAATCGACTTGATCGACCAGATTTGCCAGTTTCATCAACAGAGTGCTTGCTCTGCTACCTAAGCCGTCTATTTGGATAAGCTCTCTCGCACAAAGGTCGAACATGGGATAGGACTTCTGAAGTTAAATAAAGTCGCAGAACCACATAAACTTCCTCCAGACCTTTACAAATTCGCCTGACTAGATATTACGGAGTAACTATATGACCTGTCAGAAAAACTATTGGGACAGGAAACTATCCAAACGACCGGGGCTATTTTGTTTTTAAGAGAGAATGGCGTTCGGAATGTTGCAATCACAGTAGAGTCGGTCCGATCTCTATCATATTTAAGTTACTTCTCTCTGTCTTTCGTCCGCTCGTGATAGCCAAATTCGTAAAGAGCAAGCCCCGTTCCGTCGATATCGGAGCTGCAGCAACCACATTTTCACTTCCCTGGTGCTGTCTTCAGTAAAGGAAGAAAAACCCACCAGCGTCTAATCAGAGTATTTGCCAATCTGACTGTAACTGAATGGTCCGTTACTGAGAGGGTTTTGAATTCCAGTGTGAAGAAACAAGTGCCCAAATGGGTTCAAGGTGAGGTCAATCAACGGAAACTCAGCCATTCCCCGTTCAAAATGCCATGGGCACGCAAGCCGCCAGCGTCATCAATAAGTTGACATGTTTTGTTGGCTCGTCATCGGACTGACCCCGGCTTGTAGCAGTCTGGAGATTCCCCGGTTTGTCCGCGTAAAATTCTAACTAAAATTATTTCATTGTACACTTAGGCGACCGGTGTGGTTTGTTGGACTGATTGCTGAGGTCAGATGCTTGACTTGCTCATCGCCATTTTTGCTTGGCGCTCGTTTCGGTTGCAACGCGCGATGGCTGTGTGTGCTGTGCATCCTCCGTTCCCCTAGCTAGAGCGTCAACGGTGTTGCTATTTATATTTAGGTAACAGGGAATCTTTTACTGTACCAATAAATGGTTCCCTGCCTTTTCGAATCGCTCTCCGGGCTCTCGCTACGGACTACTCGCTAAATTGGTGACCCCCACTCCGGAAGGATCTCAGGGCCGGATATTTCGAACTTTTCTCCGGTGAGCTAGTTCCATTTATTTTCCATATTTTCCGGTTTATTTTTGTATATGGTAGCCTATCTTAAGCGCCAATTTTTTAAACCATGGGATCCGTGGACCCTAAGGTAGCGTCTCTCCTTAGCGTTGTATCTCTCTCTGTGCCACCTTTTTGGGACTTAGATCCTCTTTTGTGGTTCGCTCACCTTGAGGCTGAGTTTTATAACCACAGAATCACTTCCGACTATGCGAAGTATAGCAAGATCATGTCCTTTCTCCCCAAGGAGATATCAATGCAGAGGCGAGACGTCATCATCTCTCAGACTGAAAACCGCTATGAGACTCTCAAGGAGGCCACGATTAAGTGTGTCATGCCCTCTGATAAAGTTCGCCTGCAGCAGTTTTTCAGGGATTTGCAGCTGGGTGACAAATTGCCCACAACTCTGCTACGACAGATGCAGCAATTCCTCAGTATCTCAACCATGCCCGAGACTTTACTCCGCGAACTATGACTACAGCGGCTACCGGAAAACACTCAAGCGGTTCTTGCTATCGTCAGCTCCGTTTCGCTCACTCAACTAGCAGATTTAGCAGATCGAGTTATTGAGCGATCATAGCCACAAGCCGACGCCAGTAAGGTCAATGCCGTCGCGTCCCAGGACACATCAATCACTGGCTTAAAGTCAACTATAGAAGCCCTGCAAACACAAGTTGCGACACTTAGTCGCCAGCTTCAACAGCTTACTATGAAGCGTCGTCGTCATGACCGATCAAACTCGCCCTTCAAAAGTTCCAAGTCCAGCAACAGAGGCTTGCTGTTAATATCAACAACGCTTTGGTACCGCACCTCGTAAATCTATAAAGCCCTGCAACTTCAAGCGAAGCAGGGAAACTTCTTGGCCAACGAATAACAGCGACGGACGCGACCGCCCAACACCAAAGTCGCCTCATTCGCGTTACGCATTTAACTTCCGGCACCGAGTTCCTAGAAGACACAGGAACCGAAGTTAGCGTTATACCCCGTAGCTCAGACAGGGTCGTCTCACCCTCGCCGACCAAGCTGCGTGCCGCCAATGGCACACCAATCGCAACTTTCATCGAAAGGCTGTTAACTCTCAATTTAGGCCTCCGGCGAGTCTTTCGCTGGCCTTTCATAGTAGCAGACGTGCCTTTCGTCATCGTAGGCATAGATTTTCTTCAACGCTTCGACCTCATCGTTGACGCTAAAAGGAAGAAGCTTATTGACGCTAGGACACAGCTCAGTGTTA